TGAAAATAATACTAGCACCAATCTCCTGATTATTTTAACTATTAAGCAATAAAACATACGTAAAAGCTGAGCATAGCACTTAACCTATTAGGTAAACACTTAACATATGTTGGTTGTTATTACTACTAATTTCTTAAACTTATTTACTACCTCTTGTTTTTTTTTTCCTCAAAAAATTTCCCCAAAATGCTATTCAAATGAACAAGTAAAAAATGAAATTAAAGAGAAAATTCACACTGTGCTCTGAGTTCTGCCTGAAGTTTTTAAACAAGACAATTCATTACCAAGAATAAAGCTATATACTTTGAAATCAGTTTGTTCTGTCAAAAAGACAAAAACACTCAGATGTAATTGAATGACTATAATGCTCCCTGGCCAAGAAGTAAGGTTTTAGCTTGTTGTTTAAAGCACATGCAAGGGAGCACTGTTCTTGTCATTTTAATACAGATTTTCCACTCCTAAATTGACTTTGTGAAATAGTTAGATAATTGTTTTGCACTTTTAAGTCACTTTGTCAGCTGGAACTGTGGAAGTAATTCAGTGTTGAACTTGTAAAATATACTCTCTGAGACCCAAGTTTAAGTGAGCATAGTGATTTGTTTCCTGACAATACAGCCCAACTAAATTTAAAAACCCCTTAGTACTGGACAGTCTTTGAGGCTTTGCACGCCTTTCTTATCCACACTTCTTCTCAGCAAAGCAGCCCAGGGCAGTTTTTTTGTGCTTATAATCTACCATTACCACCTACAATAGTCATGGTCAGTAAGTACTACCCACTCCTGCCACACCAAGCCCACTGCCTCTGCGACTTCCTCTACTGCTTTACACCACCACCTCCATCTCTCTTACCTCTACCACTGCTGCTAGCCCTTATGCTAGCGCTAATGACAGTTATAGGCATGCTAAGTCTCTTGCTTGTATTACTTTATTTAAACCTCGTAACGACTTGAAGTGTGTTCTGTTTTATAGATAAGGAAATCAGGGCACAAAGAGCTTAAAGGCAATTTTTAGCCAATGTTCCTAGATTTAGTGAATGAGAGAGACAGGACTGATTGACTGATTGATTGGTATAAGGAATCCAACTCATGACCTTGCGCTTGCCAGGCAGGCACTGTGCTGCTGAGCTATCTCCCCAGTGAGAGACAGGATTTAGATTAAAGTTTTAGTAACTCCAAGGCATGTGTTCTTCCCACATTAGCATATGGTTCAGCACAGAGTTAATGCTAAGAGAAAAAAAAAAAAGATGTTGCATGAATGGATATATAGAAGCAGTCATGCTTAGGGTCACACAGTTCATTTGCCAAGGGAATAGCTCTGAACCATAGGCAGTGTGGATATGGCATGAGGGAAACTGCAGGAGACTGCCCTGCAGGACAGGCTATGTACTAAGCACCAACCAAGGACCTTGTCAGTTCCTCTCTTAGGGCAATCAAATACATGGAGAAGGGTACAAATAATACAGACACGTGGACATCAATGACCAGAGAAAAGGCGGTAGGTCAGAGCCATAGTGTCAAAGAAGCCATTGTCACTGGACAGGGTCTATGGAGGTCCACAAAACACAGAAGGGGAACCCTAAGAAATCCCGCTCACAGGGTACATTGTATGTTCGCTGACTTCCATTACAGAAAAAGAATTTTCAGGACCCAGTAGTAAGACACATAAAAGGATTAGCAGAATTTTAAATGTACACATGTAAAGAAATACCTAGAACGGGGGTAGTGTGCATTGTGATCTCAAACTGGGTATTGCTCATAGGGACTTGGGGTAGAAACTTGTGGAACTTGTGAATTTCTGGAAAGAAAGGATTTATTCTACAGATGAGAATGGTGGCCCTTCCTAGGGCAAGGGTGATGGCCCATTTTACGGGTGATAGGCACACAGGTGGGAAGGGCGCCTGGAATCTTGGGATGTTCACTGGACGAGTGATCTCAGAGGTACAATCTATCATTCTAGTGTCTGTGAGTTTGCCGGCTTGGCTATTTGGTGGGCTTTGCTGAAATTCAAACCATTACACATGCTAGAGGCTGAGTTGTGCTGTTAACAGTATACCTCCAGAGGAAGCTGATAGGAGGGAGCCCAATGCACAGGTGCAGCGCAGGCTCAGAGTACAGTTTATAAACTGATTGTCTTTAAGGGCCTTAGGAATTGCTCTTGTGTTTTGAAGCTGCCGTTTTTGTTAAAAAGTACAATTCTAATATTATAATTTTTGTGGTGTCTTTTCTATTTATCTTTCTTTCTTTTAGCCTACCTCATGATGTGTAAACAGCCAAAAAGGTAACAGCACTATATCAGGTGGTAAGGACAGTAGGGGCAGAGGCAGAGACAGAGAGAAGACATGTAATCAGGGCGGTTCTGCACTCTTGGGGCAAAGGCAATATGTTTCCTAGATGTTGGCTAGGTAGCTGCTAGCATGATCTTTTAAGCTCTAGTTTCCTTTCATTAGCCAAGGAGCAATCTTCTTAAGAAAACAAATGTCTCATCCATCTGCTCCAGTCAGTAACTTGAAAGTAATATTTTTTACTCTCCACATACAATCAGTTACCTTGTTCTGTGTTTCCTCTCTACCTCCACAGTTTCAACTCCTGCCCCAGGCAGCACTATCTTCCTGTCCGCACTGCTGCAGCTTCCTCTAACCAGGTTAGAACAGTCTCCAGCTAATCCCCCTTAAGATTCCCTACGCATTCTCCACGTTCCTGGCTCCTGTCCCTAGCTCAGACTTACTCAGCTTTCACTTACTTCGGTGTATGCAGCTCACCTTCAGAGTAGGCTGTTCCTGTTAACTCGTTCATCACCCTCCACTTTTAACAATATCTCACAATTACCTATTCAGGTCTCTTTTTCTGGACAGTAGGCTCTATGCAGATAATAGTGTGTTTGCTTTGTTCCATGCTCTACTCCAAGCATAGCGCCTGGCCCATGTACTAAATCTTCTGCTGTCATTTGAGGGTCTCTGCGTTTTGAAGCCTAACTCCCCCCCCCCATTTATAATCTCAAATGTGTTTATAGATATTCCAGAAAAGAACTCAAATCCAGTCTACCTTTATCGCAGACTGACATGTATGCACCGTGTGCAGCAATCTGAGAAGGGAAAGGGGTCCGGAGTACCGACTTCACTCACTATTTTCAGGGACTTGTTGGCAATCTGTAAGGACCTGAGTGCACTGGTGCGTCTGGGAGAAAAATTTGGTGGCAGTGGACAGGGTGAAGACCATTAAAGCCTGTGGAAGGAAGAGCTGTTGAGGAACTAATCATACTACTGTGTGGAAAGAGAGAATTTTGGATGGCACAGCTAGCTGACTACAAAACACCTAGTTCTGTCCACTAAAATGTTAAAAGTCTGTGAAGGAAATTTCTGGAAAGATTTTTTCTTTCTGAAAACAGGGACTCAAAAGAAGAGCATCCTTCACAGCCCCGTGTCTTTGGGCGAGGCTGTGTGTGATGTCAGAAATCACTAAGCATTGCCAGCGGACGTAAGGACGGGTGGAGAAAGGTTGAGTCTGAACCTGTGACACCACTGAACACTGAAAGAAAACTGAAAAATCAGTTTTAGTTAAAAGAATATGAATTTCAGGATCCAACTATGTTATAATTCAACCTCCTTCCTCTAATAAGATGCCACATCCTCACCTTCTCCATCCATTTTCACATGACAGAGTGCTTATGGATGTGGTGTAAGAGGAATTTGATTCCCTTGTCAGGAAATCTAAGCTTTGTTATACTTTGGGGCTGGCGGACTAGGGCCTAAGGGGCTGGCTGGGGATATGGAGCGCATGTGACTTTGTTTTTTACATGGAACACGCAGCTCAACTTCATAATTATTTTCTGAGAACGAATGTAAGAATTCTACCTGTCCCAAAAGCCCCCAAATCCTCAAGCAGCTTTCCTCTTCCACTAAGTACAAGAAGGGATCAGAAAGAGAGAGAGCTGTACTGTGATATGTATTTTCCTTTCAACCACAACTTATAAATTGAAATGGGTGCTTGCGAGTAGGATAGGTCCTTTCTTCTCTTCTCCCTGTCTATATGGAGCAAGAGCACTGCTGTCTTTGCTTTCATCCATCTATTATCTAGGTGTTTACTGTGTAGCCATCTATTAGCTAGATGTTAATGAGAATGCACCCGCTTTTATGCCCTCAAATATTCAAAGAACCCATCTCAAGAATATTACCTGCTTAGCAAAGTATGTAATCCAATATTTGCTTAGTGCATCTGTTGTGTAGTGTTATTTTCTGGAGGGTTCTAAAGAAACCTCGTGGAGGTGCTAGGATCTGGCATCTGACTACTGGGGATGGGATGCAGATGACTACAGGTGTAGTTTTGTGCTTCGGAAGCTCCATGCTGATATACACTCCAGCAGGTCTTGTAAACCTGTTTCTTCCTTACCGTCCTTGTCAACAAAGACGATTGCCTGTGTCTCAAACTTACAACTCGAAAAAAGGTCACTCTGCCCTAAGAGGAGATCAGTCTGTCACTGTCCAGGGCTGGTCCTTTAAAAAGCTCTGTTGAGTAGGACAAAATCTGTTTCCCTGCTAACAGAGGAGAGGACATTCTCACTGTTTGTTCCAATAAAAGTACTCCTAAGAAAGTGTGGATTCCTGGAAATAACAGTGCCCCAGTAACACAAGACCAGTGTAACTTCAAGCAAGTCACCTGTGCACCCTGATTCATTTTTATGTAAGATGAGGAAAATCTTCACTTGCCATATTTACTGTGAGAGATAAATGAGATTATGTAAGTGAAGGGGTGCAGTTTCTGCTTGTAGATAACTTTTTAAAAAAGTGTATAAAATAATGATACTATTGAGTACTTCTCAAGATCACTCTTTGCAAAAGGATGAGAGTGAACGTTAACAAAAATTTTAAAGTGAACCACTCACAATAATGATACTTGCATTTACAATCTCAGTGCACCAGCATTTCATTTACCAGACTCAGCTGCATATTATAAACAACTGGTATGGACACTAAACCAGGTTTCCACCTTTCTTTCATTCACCAGAATTCTGGGCTTAGATAGCCAAGAAACATTAAGAAGAAAGAGATGACAATGAAGAGGATGTTGACAACAGAAATGTAAGTACCTTTTTATGGTGAAGTGCTCTCTGCTATGTGATATACTAAACCCTTCTCAAGGAATAGTTCCCAGAGCTCATAAAATCCTTTTGAAGTTGATATTATCACTATCTCTCTCTTACAAATATGGAATGGAATCTAAGATACCTTAAATAATTCAAAAGAAAAGGTCATACCATGCAGCTGAGGTTAGATTTGAAACCTGGTCTTTGATGTTACTCTCCCTCCATTAGGTTCCTTAATACATATAATGGGTGGGGCTAAGAGAATTACTCTAAAATAGTCACTCACTGATTTTTGTTATTCTTGAGATTAACTATCAATCCATAGGGGAATGTCTCACTCTTTGGCAATGCACATTATTGTGTTAGTTCACCTTCTGATAATTCTGTGACTACAAGCGATAGATATAAAAGCAATATGATAATAAAGGAAAGGCTGGTTTAACTTTTTAAAATTTTGGACATCATGGTAATTATAACAAAACGCAACAGAAACCCAAAACAGTACAGTATCTAGCATGTACATAGTACTGCAAAACACTGACAAAATAGATGCGAAAGATCTGCAGTGCAACGTTCAAGGATTGACATTCTGGGAAAAAAAAATAGTAAATTTACCTTGAGTTTATGAACAATTAAAAATTTTTGTTAGCATGAAAATGTTAAGAATTTATAATATATCAGTTCAATTTTTAGGAACAGTATCTATACATATTAACTTACATTAACTGAAGCTTTAAGTTCTACCCTTTCTCTGCATGTTAAGTATTTTTAAGTACTTTCTCAGGGGCCTATTAACTGTCTGCACAAAGGTGCTTAAAGCACCTGCTAACCAGTCATCCTCAGTGCCTCCTGGTCATCCTGGTGGCGGGAACTAGAGCTCTGCTGCTTTCTCTAGTTTCAAGCCTGAATTAAAGCCTACCCAACGACCCGCACTTCCCAGTCCAGCGAGGGCCAAGCGTACAGCTCAGATCACTCACTCAGACCCTCTGGAGAAAACCTTACATTCTAGCCACATGGTTACTATTAGCTCAAAGGCGATTATATAATAAAATATTATATTTTTTAGAACGAAAACACCACCAGTATTTAGACTGTTTTAACTTATATATGAAAATTACTAGTTGATTTTCTCAGATCACCACTGATTTAGCAGCAAACAAGAGACTTGTAGTTCTAGGAGAATAAATCTTCCAAAGTGCTGCCCTTGAAGTTCCACAAATACAGGAAGCCAACAACAAGAAGAATGAAAAAAGACAAGTATGAAGACAGACATCCCTATATGTCATGTTATATTGAACTTTTTATTTCTCATTATCTCTACACAGATCACAAATATACGATATGAACTTTTAACAACAGAAAGAAAATTAATGATTATCAAACTGGCATATACCAGGTGCTAGTTACGTCCTTTTATATGAATTCATTTTCAGACTTCAAGCAACCTTTCAAGGTTGGTATTGGTGTAAGGTTTTCCAGGTGAAGGATATCAGAAAGACTCAAGGTCTTGCTCTTTCTTGGTCCCTCTCCTGGCACCAGGCAGCCTGCAGTGAGCTAAAAGGCATACTTAACTTTCCTCCCTTAAAAAAAAAATCACAGAATATAAACCAGCCTAATAAAGGTCCTAAACATTTAAAGCAGATACCATGGAAAGTTTTTGTAATTACTAAGCTACCTTCTCCTTGTTCTGAAATGTATTTGAATAGCTGAAAAAGAAAATCAGATGTTTAATACTTGATAATCCATTCAAATTTTCAGAAATAGTGATAGCATTTATTTAAGGCAAATCATCATAAATTATATAAACCACACTATCTAATCCTATTCATAGCTACTGAATATGAAGTGCTTAATGAGTTAGCTTAATGTGCCTATTAAGATGATATTAAGTAGAAAGGAGATCACCATATGCAGGTTTCCCAAAACACACTCTAATGTCTCCTAATAATACCTTGTAAAAATAAGCATTAATAATAATGCACGTACTATACAGTTTGAGTAACTGAGACATTCTGAGTAACTGAGACATTTTCAATTGTGGAAATGTTGAAAAAAGGCACAGAAAGGTAACACTTTTCTAAAAAAGTAATTGTTACTTATTAAATTCTTTTGGTAGGCTGTATTCCAACACTGAAGTATTCGGAGCTGGCATTCACTCATCACAAAGATTGCAGAATAACTCTCTGTATATTTACAAGGCTTGTGTGAGAAGTCATAGATACTTCACATTCAAACGCTTTAATGGCAATGCCACCTAAAAACTTTTTTTCCCTCTAATTCACCACTAACTTTAAATATATTCAGGCTCCAACCCGGAAATAAGCACAGTATAATGACGACCGATGGTCTATTTCTTTCCCTGACATTTAGCTCATGGTCTGCCTCTGATAAGGAAATGCATCTTTCTAAAAAGCTCTCACAGTTTTCTTTAGCACCAAAAAAAACACAGTAGATTGCTCTTTTTCTTATGACAGATCATATAATGCCTTCCTTCCAGAATATTTTTCCCTTTGAAATTAAGCCATAAAATAAATGTCTTACTTGAAAAACAGCATATTAGTGAGGTGGGACAAATGTACTTGTGTGATTTGAGTTGAATTATAGTATATATAAAAAGTTACATTTTTACGTAGGAAAGATATCTATCAAACAGTACTTAATGTTAGCTCTATTTCATTTTTCTAGGTACAATTTTGGTTAACAAATAAAACATTATGATTAAATGAAGACTGGATTAACTTGCAAGCTGATGCTTATAAATTATAAAAAGAAGTTTGAGTCTGGGCAAAAAGGTGAAATAAACGAACTCTGGCATCTGACTCTGGCATCCATTGTTGCTGGTGACTCTGTGTGCCGGGGCACATACTCTCTGAAGCTGCTCATTGCCCACTGATGAAGGCATGTCTTTCAAGTCAAGTTCCTGTGCTCTGAACTTGTATCTACAACTCCTTTCCTTGGAGTTGGAGAAAACTCTTTAAAGAGCCATGCCTTTTGGCTCATTTTGACTTCTATTCCCTTGCTAAATACAGAAATGACAGATGGCACTCCGGTAGCCCAACTGGATCAAGAGCCAGCCTTGAGAATTAGAAGCTCAAAAATAAAGATGTTATGGTTTAAAAGTGTCTCCCAGAGTTCATGTGTTAGACACTTGGTCCTCCATGGAACAGTGATGTCAGTGGACCTTGAAGGGATGATCAGCTCATGAGCACAGAGTCACTGATTAATACTGTGGGAGTTAGCTTGTAGGAGAAGCCACTCCCTCCCTCCAGAGGACGCTCCTGCCCGTTTGGGGCTCCAGTCATGTTATGGTGGCAGCACAAAGGGCCTCCTACGTGTGGCCCCTGCATTTTGCACTTATCCTCCAGAACTGTGAGCCAAATAAATTTCTGTTCATTATAAATTACCTAGTCTGTGCTATTCTCTTATAGCACTAAGACATGCTCTAAAACTGAAGGAAAAAATAAAGGTCTAAGAAGCTGAAGTCCTTGGTGACATATGGAAACTCTTGTAAGCCTCAGGCTGACGATCTTTAAATTGCTATATTTAAGTATGTAAATCAACGGCATTTGAGTTTCTTACATGCACTTGCACCTACTCTTACCCTATGTGCATTTTTGTGGGAGAGGGGAAACTGACAATTTGGAGGATAATGGGAAGAGAAGGATTTCCCCCATCCCTGCATTTTCTTTTTAAAATTTACATTTTGAACATCAATTTATTATGTAATAAAAATGTAAATACGTTATGTCTAATTAGAACTTACGGTTTAATGAAAACATTTAAGTTTATTCTATAACAATGTTCATAAAAAGCTAAACATAAATTCCAATCTTTTCCTTTGCAAAACTATGAAATTTATGAGGACAGGGAGCACTGTGTTCACCTGTGCAACGCGAGTACCTAACCAGGGTTTCTGTGTACCGCTGAAAGATAAAACGCGTCACCACTGCGCAGTGCTCCTCTCTGTCCGTGCCGGACAGCTATCTACAAAACTGAATGTGTAAGGAAGCCTTTAGGAAAACACAGGAAAGACAACACTTAGCAGAAAATTAGCAGTGGTTATTTAAGCTAGTAATCAAACATTGTGTAAGGTCATTTGTTTTTCTGCTTCAGCGACTCTATTTCCCTTTACAAGGATCTACTAGCTAGCAGAGGCAATACTTCTCAAGTGAAAGGTAAAGCAGTATCCATTATTGTAATGAAATACTTAAGACTTCTACTTATGAAACAAGGACTTATTTGCTTGACTGTTTTGGATGGAATGAGGATGGAATAACACTTTTCTAAAAAAGTAATTGTTACTTAGTTGGGGAAGAGAGAAAGAGTGAGATGCTATCTCTGGACAGACAGAGAGTGGGACCGAGAGGAGTGAGCCTTTCTACCTTCTGATAGGTCCTGTGCTTCCAAGTGCCCCGGCCTCTACACTCCCACATCGAGGACCAAGCTCCGAACCTGCAGAACAAACCACCTCCACATCATAGCACATGGGGTAAGCTGCAGAGTGTAGGAATTTAGGAATTTACCCTTAGTTCCTATGATTTTTATTTTTCTAACATTCTCATTCTAGTAAAACAAAGAACAATTTTCTAAATGCACACTTTAAAAAACTTCATATTTCAGAGTTCCATTAAACTCTAAACATTACAGAAATCAAGAATTTTGATTTATATCTTGCTTATACATTATAACAAGGCTTTTTGTTCTATTAAAAAAAATCCATCTTTCCAAAAGGGACTGTTAACAATTATAACCAATTTATTTGGAAATTTGATTAGAAAAGCTCAAATGAAATTAGCAAATAAGGCCTTCTTACTGAGCAAATGTATGAAACTCAAAAGATTGATAGGAATGTGTAACTTATTTTGTCAGTTCCATTTTTCATGTCTTGGTAATAAATATTTTGATAAATAAAGATGATTTTTATTGTATTTATTGCACTGTGGTTTGTATATTATCATGGTTTCTCCGGTAACATGCGAGGAAGAGCCATACTTCAGTACTCAAGCAATTAACTCATTAAATTTCTTTTAAAATTGTCAACATTTCTACATCTGTATAAGAATTAGATGAACTGGTGGTATCCGTTTCTCCCTAATTCTACATTGTTGGCCTCTCACTATTGCCCTAAGAATCTTTTCACTTTATATTCACCTGGCAGAATAATGCTAATGACAATGCAGAGGAGGCTGCGCTGCGAACTCAATAACGTGGTGGAGCTGAGTATGCCTCGCCTGCCATCACTCCCGCCATGATAGCAGGTGAAAGATGGAAGGAACTCTAGGACCACAGGACGGGTGGCTGATGTCTGGGGGAACGAACAAAAGCAGGTGGACATTAGGAGTTCAAAGCCAAAATAATGGCCAGATGGTAGTGACTGCTTGTCCTTCAAGGGTTCAGTGATTTGGGGTTCCATGGATAGGAAATATAAAACAAAAGCTTTTGAATACAGATACAACTCTGTAAAGAAATTTCTGTATTTCATATAAAATTGCTTAGGCATTTTCCATAAGACATCTAATATTCCTGTTCAAAGTTCTGGATTCAGGTCCTTAGTAATTCGGAGCCAAAAACAAACAACAACAAAAATCAAAACCTTGCATTCTTCAAGAACTGGCCTGCAACCTTACAGAAGGAAATAATAATGGTCTAAATTAGAGTCCTCAGCAACCATTTTCCAAAAATGTATGAAATCCCTATGACGTGGCCTTTACTGATTTTTCCTTTCTACTGGGTTCACAGGAATTAATAGGGTATGATTATCACTTGTGAACACAGAAATAAATGCGTTCTGGTTATGGAGGGCAGACATTAAACATTTATGGTAACCATCTATTAGAGCGCCATCCTGTGCTGTAGTGATTGGTAAGTTACAAAGCAGGCCAAAGATGGCGTTGCAGTTTGGTTGCTTTGACTTGGTCACTCTCCAAACTGCTTAAGGTTACTAAGGTAGAGGTAAAGCAGAAGCCACATTTTGCTGGTTTTGCAAGTGAGACTTTGGAAGCATTTGGTTTTCTCTCACAGCACAGAAGCGTTCCCACTAGCTGCTTCGTGAGAGCTGAGAGACAGGAAGGCAGCTATCTGTCACACTGGTATGCCTGTTACAGACATTGTGTGATTGTGTCCCTGGCAACAACAGCGCTAACATCCTGATCCTGGGGACCTCCTCTGGGTGAGTTGCCATGTTTCTGGAGCCAGCAGCTTCTTTATTCTGTGGGAAGTTTCTGCACTGCAGAGGAAGGAGCAGTTTCTTTCTCAGCCTGTCTTACGGCTTGGTATGTAGCTCATCAAAGTTTAACTTAAGGTTGTTTCTTTAGTCCTCCCAGTGATACTGGAACCCATTTAATATACTATTATACATCCTTTCCTGTTTAAACTGAATTCTGGTCACCACAGCAGAACACTGACTCACAAGGTATGGCAGAACATGCATATCCATTCCAAGCAACACAGTTCCAATCTGTGTAGTAAAGAGGAAGGACGAGAAGGGCAAACTCCAGGAAAACGCTCAGGGGCTGATGATAGCCCAATGTTTAAAATATGCCTTGACCTGAGGTATCAAGATTGTTAGCTTAAAGTACTTCTAGAACAATATTCAAGATTTGAAACCCCCAGTATAGAAGGACATTAGTACAGGAAGAACCTGCTCAAGGTTGGTGAGACCCTATTTTGTGCTAACAGTATCCCAGCAGCTGCAGGCTCTCCTTAATTCCTGAAGTCAACAGGGCGCTGAGATGCACTACATTCAGTCCTGCGATGCAGCCATCTAACTTTCCATGATGTTATGCCACTAGGTAATTGTCTTGGAAACTTAATTTGACTATACTGTGTATGTGTCTTTTCACAATAATACCTAGCTCACTTGAAATATTTAAGTATCTTGATAAAAGTTGTTCTTTGTTTACTATACACTGTTCTACATGCTTTCTGTTAAATTTCATTTGCTGGAAAATAATGGTCTATTTATCCCCTTCAACATCCTAACAAAAATCATCCTATGATTTGCTGCCACTATGGGCCAGCATGTATGAAAAAGGAGCACTCTTCTGTTATACTTTCTGAGACATATTTATATTGCAAAGGTATTCATTATTTATCTGAAATGCAAACCTAATTGACCATCCTATGTTTTATCTGAAACCCTAGCTGTAGAAGACATCTCAAAAATGCTACCACTTCAGAATGACTTACTCTACAGCAGCTGAGGAGGTTGAGTCTATCGAAAGGATTTAAGATGGCTACCTTCACACTGAAGGCATGGGCTCACTGTGGGTAATTTATAGGATTATAAATAAGGGAGGAATTGAAAGTATGTGAAACTCTCAGTTGGCTTCTTGGTAGCTCATGGGCTTTATTTCCTTGAACCTGGATTTAAGAATATACCAGCCCACAGGATGCTGCCCACATTTTGGTACTTTATAGCCTTCTCTGCTGCCTTCTTCCTGCTGGACTGCTAGGAAGCTAAAAAGGAAGTCACAGTGTCAGTGTCGACTCTGTAATTTCTTCTACCCCCTTCACATAGATAAACCACCTTATATCTCTTCAAAAAAGGGATGGAACACAAATTATTGAGTTGAAAGAGCTGGCTTCCTTCTATGGTTGTCATAGATCCTCAGTTAAAGAAACATTGTGAGAATTACACAAAACAGGAGGCATCTTTTAAGGTTTTGCATCATTGGGGAATAGAAAACAATGATTTTGTTGACTTTAATACTTCTGTGTTAGATATTTGTCTACACAAGTGTAAAAATAGTGTGGCATCTTGTACTCTTGTTGCTGTGATGAATGTATGCCTCAGAGCAGAAAACTTAAACTAGAGTTTCAACTTTTATTTGCCATGGCATGTACTCTATAACCCAGCGAAGAGAGCACTATCAGGCAATTTAGTGCTTTTATTTGTTAAAAGTGCTCTACTGCTGCTGTAGAAGAAGTGAAAATGTGGCTAAACTTTGAAATGTAATATATGTCTAGAAAATAAAATAATTTGTGGCATAGTTAGTTTTGCTCAAGTCTGCAGAGATAACATTAAAAATTCTCAGACTAGCAATTTGCTGACTGCAAAATCACTGTATTTTCAATAAGCCTAATATGGCAGTTGTTTTTCATAGGCAAAGAAAAGCTAAAGAAGACTTACAGTCTGAAGATATTCAGCGTAGCTTGGCAAAATTTAGCTGCTAGTTTTTTTCTTATTCTTGTTATACATTTCCATATGGGACTTATCATTATTAACAAGAAGAAATAATAGAAATAAACAAGCAAGAGGAAAGGTCCAGACTGGCATGCATTAACTGCTTGTCAACTATGGTTTTCCTAATGAATTGCCCTGTTGCTCTGTATCTCACTGATTACAGTACAACAGCTTTCATTAGTCACTGCAAATAGGACTTAGTGCCACCTTATTTACATTCTATTGCAAATAATTAGCATTTCATATTAGAATCGTCCAAGGCACTTCTGAACTTGCAGCAAGACTATTTGACATCACCCAGTACTTGATTCTATACTGAACAAGTATAGAAACAGATTCTGTGCTTTTTTAGTTACAACGGTGTCACCAGTGAATTCTAAAATGGCTTAAAATCCTGCCAATAGTGTAGCAGGGGATATCAAAATGCTGCAGTAATTAGACCTCGCAAGTCTGACTTCCCTCGTGGTAGAACTGTCACAGGGGGAGGCATTGATATTCAAAGTTTATAATAACTCAAACCTCTACAATTATTCCTAGAACACGAACACTACCATTTTAAACAGCTGAAAACAATTTCTTAAAAAAGCCTATAACAAAGGTAAAAGACAGAGGGGGAAAACCAGTATCATATGCTTTATGCCAAATGCCTTTTGTCCACTCAAATTTTATAATTAAGATTCACACCTGATTATTAACTTGGTAAGAAAAGTTTTCTCTTGAAATCTTAGCTGCCATATTTAACAGACTGAAAGTCTTATTCTAATAGATCGGTTAAATCTTCAGTTTATAAGTGCATCATTCCAGAATTAAAAAGATTTGGATATATTATGTTATACATCCAAATTTACAGAAGTATTTATATAAAACCAGCAATTTCTATTTAAACACTGTGTATGTGAAAGTGTATGGACATACATACATCTACACATTTGTAACTATATGTAAGTAGTGGTTTTCCCCACATGCACATAAAAGAAGCCAGAAATCATAGAATCAACTAATTCGGAATGTGTGAATGTGGTTTTTACAGAACTAGTGAATATGAATCCAACACCAGTTGAATACGAATCCAACATTACAGTGTTGGATTCACACTTCAGGGTATCTTCAGTC